TTTTTGTGGTACCAGGGATTGAACTCAGGTCCTTGCACTTGTGAGGGAGGCGATGGAACCACCGAACGAAATACCCAGTCCTGAACTCTACACTCTTTAACGGTTAATACAATGTGATGAGAAGTTCACCTCTAAAAAAAATAGTTCAAAGAAAAAAAACATACAGGAAATAAGGAACATATGGGATTAATAGATAAAAATATATGACAGATCAAAAGAAATTTTCAATAATTTCATAAAATGTAAATGGTAGAATACCTCAATTAAAAGCCAGGGATAGTCATTTACATAAAAAAGACCTAATTGTCTCCATTAGCTTTTTAAAGAAACAAATAAGCTAACAGAAAAAACAACCTAGTAATACTAGTTAAAAGAAAGCTTGAAGATAGGCACAGTGGTGCACATCCAGAAGGCTCACACAGGAGGATTCCAAATCTAAGCCTGTTCGGACAACTTTGCAAGATGTCTCAAAATTAAATTTGAAAGTTCAAGACCAAATTTGGTGGTGCTTCCTGTCTCAAAAAACAAAAAACAAACAAACAAAAAAACTTCAATGCAATCTCTATCAAAATATTCTTCACAGAACTAGAAAAAACAATTCTAAAACACACCTGAACCAGGGATTTACCTCAGTTGTGCCGCCATCTGCTTTGAAGGCTCTAAGTCCCAAGTTTGATGCCTGGTACCCTCCGCCCAAAAATTGCACATGGAGAAACACAAAAGACCCAGAATAAACGAAGAAATCCTAAGCAAAAAGAGCAAGCCAGAAAGCATCACAATATACACCTTCTAATTATACCATAAAACCACTGTAACAAAAACAGTAAACATGGTACTGGCATGAAAATAAGACATATACACCAAAAGAGAACCCATAACAGAGAACACAGGAACAAAACCACACAACCAGAGCTATCTGATTTTGGAGAAAAAAGCCAAAAATATGTAACAGTTTACCTCAAGAGTCACTTGGGCAGTGTGTTTATGTCCTGACTATCCCAAGTGTCACTCGGGCAAGCATCATTATTTCAACCGGTCAATTCTTGTATTGAATAAATTTGATAAAACTGTTTTTATATTTCCTGTTATCTTATAAAATTAACAAAAATTATAATTTTTGGTCATCTTGCATTTAAATAATTGGACTAGTAAGTGGATAAAAAAAAGGGCTCTTTTAAAAAATGGTGCTGGGGCCGGGTGTGGTGGCACATGCCTGTAATCCTAGCAATTGGGAGGCTGAGGCAGGAGGATAGCTGTGAGTTGGAGACAAGCCTGGGCTACATAGTGAGCTCCAGGTCAGTCTCAACAACATAGTGAAACCCTGTCTCAGGAAAAAAAAAAGGTGCTAGAGGGGCCGGGGATTTAACTCAGTGGTTTTGCTGCCTGGCTTACAAGCACAGGGTCCCAAGTTCGATCCCCAGTACCAAAAAATGGTGCTGGGAAAACTGGACATTCACCTAAAGGCTGAAACTAGATCCTTAGCTCTTACCCTGTAAATCAATTCAAGACGGACCAAAGACCTAGGTTAACATTTGAAACTCTGAAACTACAAAAGAAAGTGGCGGGGGGGCTTAGAGCCACAGGCACTTGCAAATACTTTCTGAATAAGACTTCTAACAGCTCAAGAAATATTAGCAAGAATGAACAAATGAAACTACATCAGATTTTAAAGTTTCTGCAAGGAAAGAGCTAACAGAGTGAAAAGTCAGCCTACAGAATGGAAGAAAATCTTTGCCAGCTTTTCCAATTCTTCTGTCTCTTCTGATAAAGGATTAGTATCTAGAAGATATAAAGAACTCAAAAAACAAAAACTAAAAAATTCAAATAGCCCAATCAGTAAATGGGCAAAAGAACTGAATAAACATTTTTCAAAAGAAGTGCAAATGCTCAGTAAGTATATGAAAAAATGCCCAACATGTTTAGCCTTTAGGGAAATGTAAATCTTAATTTTAAAACTATATTGAGATTGCATCTCACCCCAGTCAGACTGGCTATCACAACAATACAAATGATGATGAGAATACAAGGAAAAAGGAACACTTCTACAAGTCTAGTGGAAATGTAAATTAGTACAACCACTACAGAAACCAAGTTCCTCAGAAAACTAAAAGCAAAGCTTACAACTGCTATACAGATTCAATGCAATGCCAACTGAAATTCCAACAGTATATTTCACAGAACTAGAAAAAATAATCCAACAATTCATTTGGAACCAAAAGAGACCTAGAATAGTAAAAGCCATCCTAGGCAACAGAGACATGGCAGCAGGTATAACAATTCCCAATTTGAAACTATACTACAAAGCCACTGTGATAAAAACAGCATGGTACTGGCAAAGAAACAAGACCTGAGGGTCAGTGGAATAGATTGGAAGATAGAGAAATAACTCCAGATGTACTCAGCTACTTCATCTTTGACAAAGGAGCCAACCATCCTCACTGGAGGAAAGATAGCCTCTTTAATAAATAGTGTTGGTAAAACTGGATTTCAACTTGCCAAAGATTAAAACTAAACCCCTATCTTTCACCTTTCCCTAAACTAAAATCCAAGTGGATTAAAGATCTAAATATTTAAAAACAGTCACTAAATTTGCTGGAAGATAAGTTAGGCAGAACTCTTGAAGACATTGGCAGAGGAAAAGATTTTATGAACAAATCCTCAGTAGTACAGGAAGTAGCAGAAAGAATCAACAACTGGGATCTCAGCTTATTAAAAAGCTTCTGCACTGCAAAAGAAACCATCAACAGAACTAAGAGACAACCTACAATATGGGAAAAAAATTTTACCAGCTGCTCCTCGGACAAAGGACTATTATCTAGAATATATAAAGAACTAAAAAAAACATCAGTCCCCGACCCCCAATTTAAAGACCCGATTCAAAAATGGGCATCGGGGGCCGGGGATTTGGCTCAGTGATTCCACTGCCTGCTTCACAAGCACAAGGGCCCGAGTTCAATTCCCCCAAGTACCCCCAAAAAAAAAAACCAAAAAGATGGGCATCAGAAATGAACAGACATTTCTCAAAGAAAAAAAAAGCAGCAAGTAAATATATGAAAAAATGTTCCACATCACTGGTACTTTGAGAGATGCAGGTGAAAACCAACAGTGAGATTCCACCTCACCCCACAAAGAATGGCTGCTATCAAGAAATCAAACAATAACAAATGTGTTGGCAGGGTTGTGGGGACAAAGGAACCCTTCTCCATTGTTGGTGGGAGTGCAGACTGGTGCAACCACTATGGAAATCAATATGGAGATACCTCAAAGAACTAGGATTAGAGGTTCCATTTGACCCAGCCATCCCTCTGCTGGGTATCTTTCCAAAAGAATTAAAAGAATCGTATCACAGTGATTATATGCGCACCCATATTTATGTTTATTAGAGGCATAGTCTGTAACAGCTAAAAGTTGGAAACAGCCCATTTGCCCATCAGTTGGAGACTGGATAAAGAAGATGTAGTTTTTCTATAAAATAGAATGCTACTCAGCCATAAAGAATGAGAAATTAAGAGTCATTCATAGGAAAATGGATGCATATTGAGGGTATGCTCTTAAGTGAAATAAATAAAACACACATATAAATACCGAATTGTTTCTCTGGTGTGAAAAACTATAATTGTACATAAGATCCTAATGTACAATTGACAATGTGAAATAGGAAGAAAAGGGCTAAAGGTAGCAGAAGTGGAAGGGTAGGGGAAAGGAAATAAGGGAAAAGAAAAAAATATGAAAAAATGGAAATAAAGTATTTGTAAATAGGGAAGGGAGGAGGGGGTAAAGGGAGGGCAGGGATAAGGGGGAAAAATGAGAACCAAGACCTGTCATGTAAAGGTACACAATCCCAATGATGAATGTAACTGTACTGTATACCTAAAATGTACCAATAAACTCAGTGAGAAAAAAAATACAAACAAAGCTTACATCTGATTCAGTAATACCATTCCTTGGTATATGTACCCAGTTATACCTTCTGGGTATAATATTCCTGAAAGAATTAAAGACATCATACTATACATGTATACCCACTGCTTACAGCAGTGCAATTCACAACAGCTAAGCGGTGGAGATAGCCTATATGCCCATCAACAAACAGATAAAGAAAATGTAGTATTTATAGACAATGAAGTACCATTTAGCCATACAGAAGAATGACATCATGCCACTTTCAGGAAAAAAGTCAGGCACAGAAAATTAAACATTTTTTGCAAAATGGAAGAGGATCAAGAGTTGGGGCAGGGGGTGAAAAAAGAATTAAAGATGTATATGTACATGTACCCCCCCATTTGGAATGTAATCATTATATATACTATAAACACGTACCCATAAAAATTTTAAAAGAAAGCTAAATATCACATGGTTCCTCTTATATGAGAAACCCAAAATATAAATTATAGATAGGAAACAGAGATGCAGACTTCTAGAGGCAGGAAAGAGACTAAAGAAAGGGGAGACGGGGAAGGGTAAGGAGGGGACTTCAAAGGACTGAAATGATCAAAAAATTGTATATATGAGAGTATATATATATATATGTACCAATTCCCCAAAAAGAATATAATTATTATGTATCACAAAAATATAGTCATTTAAAAGCAGTGGTGTTAGGAATACAGCTCAGTAGTAGCATATCCCTGGGTACTGCTCTCCCCCACCACTCCTGAAAAACAAAACAAAAACCAAGAAATAGTACTTTTTCCTTTCAGGTCTGAAACAAAAATTGTATTCTTTTTTTTTCTCTTTTAATTAGCAAGTAAAAATTGTATATATTTATAGCATACTATATGTTTTTAATATCTGTACATTGTGGAATGGCTAATTAAAACTATTCATGTATGAGCTACCTCACATTCTTATCATTTCTTCATGGTAAAAACATAAAGTAACTATTAGACTTTTTCAAGTACATGATATACTGATGAACATTCATCTAACTGAAATCTTGTGCTCTATGACCAACATTATGTCCAATCCCCATAATTCCTAGTCTTTAGTAACTACTATATCACTGTTTCTATACATTTGTCTTTTTCAAATTCTATATGTAAGGGAAACCATGCATTTGTCTTCCTATACATAGTCTCTTTTCCTTTCAACATTTCAGTATTACTTCTGAAACATCCACGACTGTATTCTCTGCATTTTTTTTTATAAGTAAATTCTTAAAAGTTTCAATTCCAGACACACATTATGGCTGAAGAGATAAAAATACATCTGGCAAGATTATCTTCTCCAAATATCTGCTTCTACAAGTGCTGTCTACCTTTCTAAACAGATAAACACAACTGAAGTACTCTCTCTCTGCATCACAGATGACCTGAAGGCACTCTCTCAAAAATATTACTTCTGTCACAACTTTCCACATTAGCTTTTCTGTTGTGCCATCCTGCAGTTTTCCTGGGTAACTAAAAATAATGTCTATCTGTCTACTTAGTTTTATTTCATGTTCTCGCATCAGATAGTTTTTAAGACATACTTAAAAATAAGAAAAGTATGTCTATGCACTTACCTCAAGTACTGGTCCAGCTCCAAGAATAATTTGTTCTACTCCACTGGCAAATCCTTTCTGACTGAGGGCAGTAAGGTGGTGAATAAGAAAATTTGTGCTCTGAGTCTTCCCAGAACCACTCTCTCCTGAAATCACAATGCACTGATTCTTTTTGCGCTGGAGCATAGCATGGTAAGCTACATCAGCCACAGCATATATATGTGGCTCAAGTTTTCCCAGCTGATGGTTATCATACATTTTGACATATTTGGGGTTATAAATAGGAAGAAATTTGAATGGGTTAATAACTATTAGAATACTGCCAACATAGGTATAAATTTTCTCGTGCTTAAAGCGATTTCGTAGATTTTCTAGGAGTGTTTTCTCATTCAAATTGGGTAGGCTACATAAATCATCAAAGTCTTTCTGCTGAGGTTGTGGAAGAAAACCCCGTTCCATCATCCTGCGACGTTCTTCTGTTACCCGTAGCCATGACTGAAGGCTCCCATAATGAATGGATCCATCAAGGTTTTTTTCTCTCAGAAGAAAACGGTAGTCCTCTCCACTTGAGCGATTTTCCAGAGCCATCCGTGGCCACAACATCATCCGCTGAACTGGACAGTCCGTTGGATTGAGTATCCATTCCTCTCCACCAAATTCCTTTACCTCTGCTAAGACATAACATTTTGTTTTGTCTAGATTAAGTCTGTTTATTAGAGAGTCAATCACCTCAGCAGCTGTGGAGTTTTTTCTGGCAGGGACTGGACAGTAGATTGTCCCTTCTGAAATTGTCCCAGGATATATTCGTAATGTATGTTCATTATCCTCAAAGCGTCGTCTTCCTCCATCACTTATATTCATATTGGATCCTGTCCCATCAGCATGGACAGTATTCGTCCAAGATCAAACCAACCATTTTCTTGGCAAAAGAACTGTAAGATAAAAAATATGAAACATTTAAAAGTCATATTATATACTGCTTTCTGAGACTCAAGAAAATGCCAATTACATCTTCTGCAACAAAAAATCCCAACTCTTACGACACAAAAAGTAAACATAATTCATTGAGATCACATAAATAATGTTAAGTTTTACTGTCTAAATCAGAGCACTTTCAAATTTAGTCACTTGACAAAAATACAGATCAACAATTGAGAATTCAAAGAGTACAAAGGAAAATGATGTTTTTCCTGCCATTCAAATATTTCTAAGGTACTTGGGTTTAGAATCAAGTTCTTTCTTTATCCTTGAAGAATCTCACTGAAGACTGAGTTAAGAAAATTACACAAATTACTTACTGCACACCCAAATTTCTTGAAGATAATACAAAAACAAGAAAGAAGGCCAATAATGGAACAAGAACTTTATGAAATGCAGTATGAAGAGTAAGACTTTATGACATCAACGTAGAAATTAAACTTATAACCAAGAAAACAATCAGAGGAAACTGCTGCAGAGACAAACTTACTTTCAGGGAACTTTGGGCTTTGACTCTTCCCCTTCCACAAGGTGCAGCAGAGAGAGGGGTCTAACAGGGACAACAGAAAGGTCCTGCTCCTGCACTATTACAAACAGTTCTGAATTTCTCTGTGTCTTTCAGTGTTACTGTTCTACTTCTTTATCTAATCTTTTCCCATTCTGTATATATTTCCTATCTTCTCAAATCCCTCATACACTCTTGTGGAAAGATCACTAAGAAGATAATTATTTTCTTCTCTATTCCAATTTTCATGTCATTTCTATTCTGCCCCTTTCTACAGAGAAAATATGTTCCATGTACTTTCCAGGACTAACAAAACCCATTTCTTATTATCCCTATTACTCATAGGCTCCATCAAAAAGCCACTCTCATGGGCCAAGGATTTGGCTCAGTGGTTTTGCCCCCTGCCTCGCAAGCATAAGGGCCAGAGTTTGATCCCCGTTACCAAAAAAAAAAAAAAAGCCACTCCAATGTGTTATCAATCTTCCTGTTTATGCTTGCTTCATCCTTTAACATATAAAGATGATATGCTACTTTTAAAAAATGAAAAATACTTTCAGTTACTCACACGACCACATATTTGAAAAAGTCCCCTAATGAAAAACTTTATCTTTTTTCTATGAACTTTCAAATACACAGATTAAAGAATACATTTTAAAAATAGCCAATTTAATAATATTTTTCTATTTATTAATGTTGATACATATAAGCAAAGTTCATTAATTCCTAAATCATCCCATTGCATGATTCTACCAGTTCATCAATCAACTAACTTTCTAGTGAGCAGCAGGATGTTTCCATTATACTACAAAAAGGATGTTACAAGTCTCATATACGTCTCTGTAAGTATCTGCGCTAGAATTCCACCCTGCTTTATACTTACAAATAAAATTACTTGGTTTGAGGCATCTTCAACTTTCATCAAATACTATTGGTTTTCCATTTGACTATTTCTCAACGGCTATAGAAGAGCTCAGATTTTTCTATCTCCTTTTGTTACTGTCAGACTTGCGTGTCCACCAATCTAAAGTACATCTGATGAGCAGTGAAGGTGAGACTCTGCTCATTACCATTAGGACCATGTCAGTCACCCCCCCCCGACTTTTATGAGTTGTCTTCCTTTATCAGTCTGAATGAGATATATTCAAATATTAATATCCTAGATAGTAACCAGTTTTCAGTTGAATGTGTGGCAAAGATCTTCTATCCATGAGTGATATCTTATTTATACTTTTTGTTACACAGAAGTTTAGTTGGCTGTTTTGGCAGTACAATGAACCTAGGGCCTTTACCCTGAGCTACTTCCCCAGTCTCTCTCTTTTTTTTCAGAGACAGGATTTTGATAAATCACTAAGGCCCAGGCTGGGCTCCAACATGAACTCCTCCTGTCTTGGCTAGGATTACAGGCATGTGCCAACACATACAGATGGAAAGTTGTTTAACTGTAAAATTTATCAATCCCATGGTTTGTTTTTATCTTTTTTCCTTACAGTTATAGAGATCAAATCCAGGCCCTTGAACATGCTAGTTAAGCACTCTATCACTGAGTTACACATACAGCCCTTTTTTATTTTGAGACAAGATCTCACCAACTTATATAGGTAGGCCTCGAAGTTGCGATCCCCTTGGGTCAGCCTCCAGAGTAGATGGAAGCACAGGGGTGTGCCACTGTGCTTAATTTGTTTCTCTTTTAGTAAAACAACATTAACAACTGTAGTTAGCTCTTGACGCATACTCAATTGTACTGCTCATTTTTCTAAGCATTTCATGAATTACTTTATTTAAACTTCAGAATTCTTCTCAGGGTTGTTTTACCATTCTCAGCTTCATTTTACAACTCAGAAAACAAAGAAAGATTTCATAATTTGACTAAAGATCCCCCCAAACAGAATGAGATAAAGCTGAGACAGGAAGCAGGAAGTCTAGTTCTAAAGTGTCCATCTGCTGCTAATTATTCAAAATTCTTCCTTATCCTAGCCAGCCATGATAGGATATGCCTGTAATTTCAGGACTCAGAGAGGCCGAAGCAGGAAAATCGTCATGAATTCAAGGCCAGCCTGGAATACACAGCGAGACCCTCATCTCAAAAAAAACAAAAAAAAAAACATTTTCCATATCAAGACATGAAATTATTCTCTATTTTCTTCTAAAAGGCATACTTTTTTTTTCTTAGATCTTTAACCTATATAAAATTTATTTTCAGGATGCTGTGATAAAGACTTTACTGATTATAATGTCACTTTAGCCAGTTATGGACTAGTAATCCCTCACTCATCTCTTATGGACATACATCAACTGTTCTAGAGTCTATACTCTGTTCCACTGATCTATTTGGCTATCCCCAAATTCTATAATAAATGACAGAAACTTTAGGAAAGATACAAGTATTGTAATTTACTTCGTGTGGAAAAATCAAACTAGTTTCTACAGTTTTCCTTTTTTTTTTTTTTTTGGCAGTACTGGAGATATAATCCAGGAGCACTCTATCACTGAGCTACAAGCCTGTCCCTTTTTATCTGTTATGTTGAGACAAGGTCTCACTAAATTGCCCAGGTAGAATTTGAACTTGTGGTCCTCCTGCCTTAGCCTCCCTCACTGCTGCGATTAAGGCATATCAGCTCAACTTGTTCCTCTTTATTTTGTGACTACTTACCATATGAATTTTAACATAACTATGTCAACTACTGCGAAAAAGGCTTTTGACTTTTTTTTGGTACCAGGGTTTGAACTCGGGCCCTTGTGCTTGTGAGGCAGGTGGCAGAACCTCTGAGTCAAATCCCCCATCCCCAGCTTTTAATACTATATTGATTCCACAGATTAAGACTGAAAAAAAACTTATCTATGAATTCCTGAACACTATCTTGTTAGTTTTTTTAATTATAAAAACTAGCTTTATCGCCAGCACCACATAAAAAAATTAACTTTACCCTTCATTTGTAAAGTTTCTGTCATTTTCATATCCACATGATCTTTTATCTGCTTAAATTTGATAAATGAAAAAAAATAAAATTTGATAAATGTTTTAAGGGCTCATAATCCCTCACTTTTATACAATTTAATATTTTTCTATTTTGGTCTTTTGAGACAGTGTCTCACAATGTACTTCAGGATGGCCTCGAATTAACAGTGATCCTCCTGTCTCAGCCTCCCCAAGTTCTGGGACTATAGGCATGCACCACCACACCCAGCATAATTTAGTATTTCAGGCAAACATTTTAATGTCATCCAGGATGAACTGCTCTTCTAATTGTTGGTCTTCCTTAGCATCAGATGGCTGCGTATGTTTGAGAATTTAGTTGTGCAGATGCACATCTGATGAAACTATTTTCTCTCACAAACATTTACTGAAAACCTGCTTAGTACTTGTTTAAAATAATGACACTATCATAATGATACCTCTAAATATTAACTTTTCCTTTTTTGAGACCGGGTCTTACTGTGTAGCTGGGACTGGACTTGAACTTTTTTTCTTTCTTTCTTTTTTTTTGAAACAAGGTTTCTATGTTGCCCAGGCTAACCTCAAACTCAGCCTCAAAATCCTCCTGCCTCAGCCTCCCAAGGAGCTGGAATCACAGGTATGTATCAATGGTTCCAGATTAAAATTAACAAAATTTAATATTATATAATCAGTGATCAATTTTCCTCAATTATATGAGAAACACTGGTACAGTTATTTTAGTCAAACAGGAGAATGTGCTCCATAAGAACACGAGGGAAATATCCTGAGCTATAAAGTTCTTAGATGTAAGTCTATGTTTGTATTATTCTGAACCCCTGACCATATGTCTTCATATAAACTGTGCCTTATAATCAGAGGGCTGTGCCCCGTGACTGTGCCCTATCACCCACCCCAGGGGTCACACTGAATGACTACAATCTAATGCCTACAGTTGTATAATATGGCAGCCCTAACTAAACTCAAAACCACCTTTTTAACCAGAAGAGACTGACGTGACCCATGACTTCCAATAATGAACCCAACTCCAATAACCTTCCCATTACCTCTGAAAAGCCAAACCTCAGCTGCTTTAGCTGCAGGTTCCTGGCAACAGCCTCACTCAATGAAAAGAGTGTTCTTTTCCTTTTGAAAGTTAAAAACTTTTTTAGCTCAACTTACGTCAATTTGGTTTCTTTTTGGTTATCAGTCTTCACTTTGTGTATGAAAAAAGGGGTTTCCCTAAAAACATAAATCATAAATCCATCTTTATAGTAAATTCCTGCCAAGCTACTTGAAAAATCCATACTTATAATTCTGAAGTATGAGAAAGTATAAGAATCATCTAGGGAACTGTTTAAAAATATAAATTTCCAGGCCCAATAATAATTCTAAGACAGAGAAATTTAGACAGTATCTAGGCAATTCTGTGATTATTAGTCTTTTATTTGGATTCTTTTTGTTTTGTTTTGCTTTGTTTTTGGTACCGGGGATCGAACTCAGGACCCTGTGCTTCC